TGCAGGGCCAGGAGTTGGACTCAATGATCCTTGTGGGTCCCTTCCAACTCAACACATCCTGTGATTCTCTGAGACAACCCTGTTCTGAAAAGCACCTCCCAAAGGTCCTAAAGGCAAAGCCTGCCCTGACATTCCAGTGTAGTGCTTCCATGCTCTAGTGGCAAGGAGAGATGTGACTTGAGTGAATAGGTTACAGCAGCAGCCAGTCACACCGAGCTCTTCCTGGTGCTAAAGACAATGTAAAAATCTGGTGACACTGGTGGTGCATACACTGAGTAGGAATTGTGCTCCAGAGTCATGTGGGCACTTCCAAAAATCCTACTCTTTCTTCTTAAGATGCTTCTGGACCCTGTGACTCCTCAACACTCCTAAACTACCTCTGTGCCTTAAAAGGCAAAGTAGTGTTTTCAGTTTGGCACAGAAAGCACTGCAGGACCACCTGCTAAGAAGACAGCAGCAAAGCAGTATTCCCAAGACCACAGGAGTAAAGAAGTGGATGGACATATATCAGTTTTGTAACTCTTTTGGACCTTTTCCTGCTCTGATACCTGTGTATGAGAACCTTAGTGTTTATGTGGTTCCACACAGCATGAGGCCCTGATACAACCAAGCTATTTGTTCTGTGCATGTGCTGCAAACTCAGGAGTATAGTGGATCTATAAATATTTTTGCTAAATTCTTGAAAGCATCAATACACTCATAAATATTATTTTTCTGTAACTGTTACTTGTGCTTCTTGTGCAAGGATGAGTCCGAGGTTTATGTGTATACATGTGCACACTGAAAGATGTCAGTTTTCCTGGTTAAAAGAGAACCAGTTCTGTCTTGAGGGATATAGAATACCTGTCCCTCAGTAAGAACTACACTGACCAAGACAAGTCCTAGTTTCCATCTTAATACATCTTAGTCTTACAGGAACCTTATTCAGCTTCTGTTCCAGGCTTTTTTTGCTGTGAATCTAACATGGATGGCTCACTCCTTCACAACAGTGTGTTCATTACAGGCAGCAGTATCAGCTGGACTCTGCTTAGCTGAACAGATATTTAGACTTTATTCAGCATCATCTTCTAGAAGATACTCATTTTATGTTCCTTTTCCCCCCTGCTTAAATCTACCCAAGACTTCCTTGACTTGTAAAGGCTTCTCTTTTGTGTTACAGTATTACATGCATGCCCGACACCTGGCCCTTAGCAGAACATTCCCAGATAAATTTGAGATGGACCCAAGTGCTCCACCAAAGGTAAAATCTGCTTTTGAGTTCAATTTAACTGCCTTACAAGGAGGGAGAGAAAGCGTGTGTGTCTGTGTGTGTTTGGCAGAAAGAGGGAGAAGAGAATGAGCAAGTTTTGGGTTAACTGAAGGAAAATAGGAACTCATAGTTAATTACAGACCCAGTCTCCAGTCAGGAGTGATAAAGGAACAGCTCTTCAGATGATTTCAAGGGACTGGCCCTTGAAATTCCTCTTTTAAGAGTGGCAGCTTCTAATGTTGCTTCTGATAAATGTCATGGGGACGTTCTGCACAAAGCAAAGAGAAAAGGCAAGGATGTTCTAAGGAATGTGAGGCAAAGCATTGCCTTCATCTAAACATGGTATGTTTTCTGGAACTGCAAGGGGTCAGTTTAAAGGCAGACCTTCAAGCAGTTCTTGCCTAGTATGTGTTAGCACCAATTGGAGAAGGGAGGCTGTTCAGAACCACTGTAAGAACAATGTTATTTGAAACCAAACCTCCAGAGAGCAACTCTTTTTTTTCTTTTAATAAGAAGGAGAAAGGAGACTCAGACCTAAACCCCTTGGTTTGTTCTGGTTTAGCAGATACTGATGTTACAACTAGAAAGCTGTTTGGAAATTTCAGACTGAATCCTGACTGAATTTCAGTGAGCATATTCTGACTATAGAGTACAGAAGGATTTTGAGTTGTGCCAATGGTTTTAAGGCTCAATTAAGTTTGTCATATCTTGCAAAAAGCAGTGCTGGAAGGGCAGCGTATTATTTATGGCATAGACTAAATATCTGTGCCATACAAGCCTGTACTCACTGACAGAGGAGGACTGAGGGGATTTGGGTTTAAGGGAGCTTAATTTTAGAGTGCGGAGCATCCCTGTTCCCTTTGAAGTGTTGATAGCCTTAAATTTCTGTGCACAACCAATTGGGGAACACTGTGTTAACACGTCCAACTTGTCTCTCTCTCTGCCAGACGGAAGGTTTCAGGTACCCCAGGCCTTCCTCAGTGCCACCATCACCTTCTGCCTCTCAGCATTCCAGCCCCCAGAACAGCGAAGCCGAAGATGAAGATGAGGATGAAAGATACGATGAGGATGAGGAGGCCGAGAGGGACAGGCAAAACATCAAGTCTCCCTTTTCCCTTGGAGCGTTGCCACAAGGAAAAAAGAAGCAGCACGGGGAATACAGGAACTGAATTCATTGCTCCCACTCTGGCAGGGTGTCTCTCCATCCATTCGACAGTTCCTCCTGTAGGCTTGGCAAGCTTTGCTTTAAGGACAGTGTGATATAATTAGGAGAATCTTAAATGTTAATTAAGCTACACTGTTGGAAAGCCTAATATTATTTCACCTTGAAAGTAGTTTAAATTACAATTTTCCTGTGCCCCTTTGAGGTAGAAGAGATTTCTCAAGCTTAATAAATCTAGAGAATGCAACAATCCCCTCAGGAGCTTTTACAAACTGCAGATCATACCTTTGTCTACATAATCACTGCATTAATCATAGTCTACACAGGTAGCTCCATTTTGGGTATCCCAAATGAATGAATTCCTGCTTCATTTATGTTTTCTCTTTAAACCAGAGCTCAAAAAATTAGAGGGAAAAAAAGTGTTACACTGGAGAAATACTGGAAGTGTTAAAAAAGGTACACTGAAAAGAAAATGGTCTTTCTTTTTCCTTATACTGTTTATTGCAAGCTTACATAATTTAAAACATTTTTTTACAGCACACAAAAGTGTCTTGATCCAGTGGTAAAAGTCTTATGCAGTGGGCATCCATTTTGAATTTTAGAGAAGTCATCTTTCTGCAGTCATTTAGACTCACAATAAACAGCAGACCATTTATTTTCTGATTCCTCTGGTATGTCTCTTTTGTTGTTTTCATCTTGTTTTAGATTCTAAGTTTGTTAACAAACTGGTTTGGGAGGAAATTAATGTGGCTTGGCTAAAGTGAATGGCAAAACTTCCTTAAGTAACACCTTGCCCTGCAGACAAACCTCCAGGCCACAGGGTGATGTGGCAACATTCAAAGATAAGTAACAATTGCCTCATTAGTCCACAATTTATTTCACTTCTAGAAGAGATCTAATCTAAAAAATAATGCTAAAAGAACCCACAGACGGCTTTTGAAATGCACCTGAAATTTCGAAGTGCTTGGGGAATAATTTAACCTCACAACAGGAACTGGACCTTTTGTTTGCCTTACAGAAAGCTTTTCAGTTCCTAGAGATGCAGTTCCTGAAAATGCTCTTCAGAAGCAGATCTTGACATGAAGATGTTAGGAAGGAGATTCCTCTTTTGTTTTAGAAGGAGCCATCAAGAATTTCTCATGCTGTTCAAGAAAAGACATTTCCAGGAGTTGATTCAGCCTGTTCTTCAGCAGGTAGGAGGATGTAACCTTTGGAGGTACCTTCACTGCTGATTCTAGAGGGAGCCTAGATGTCCAACTCTGATTAGATGCCTCCCTTTCAAACACTTAAACATCATTTGATGACATGCTTCTTATTTTAGGCCATATGGAATAAAAGTGACCATGTGCCTATTTGTATTTTTGGGCTCCTAAAATCAGTTTTAAAATTGGACTTTCATTCTTCAGCTGGTTTGGATACCCGAAAGAATAACTATTCTCAGAAGTAGGCTCAGGCTTTCACGGCAAAATTATTTCAATTTAAAAGGAGTCACTATTTTTTAGCCATTTAAAAATAATTAAAACAATGAGTAGTTTTTCATATGAAAGTGGTGAAAGCAAAGATGTTGCCAATATTTTTCTTCATAAAGTTTACTAGATGGAGAAACTGCAGTTTGTGAACTTCTTCCACAAAGTGCTTTTAATCAGGGTTCCCTTGCAGAGTTGAAGAAGGTAATGGCTGAGAGTCCCAAGGAAAGAACATTTAAAGGGCATATTGATTGGAAGTTAATGTTCTCTTAAAAAAATAAATCCAGAAGTCTGGCATTATTGCTTGCGTTTCAGAGCACTGCTGTACAGCAGAAAAGCTGTGAGTATTTCAGCACACTCACATGCCTTGAGCACCCACCTGGTGTTAGAAAGGGCAATAGAAAGGTTTTTGAGACATGATTAATGTGAATGCTTTGCCCATTCCTCTCAGAAATGACCCTACAGTGGCCAAAGTGACTCCAGCCTCAACCCTGATGCTTACATTATCCTGCCTTGAATGCCAGGACTAAGCCATTAGTAGCAAGGCAATTTATCCACAGCAGAACATCTCTGTCTCTTGAGTTTATAGTGTTGGAGGGAGTGACTTTTCATTCAGTCATGGTGACAGATTGCCTGAATTAAATGCCACACATTTCTAGCAGTTACTGACATCTGACAAGCTTGGTAGCAGCTTTCTCTTACATAAGTGATTTTCTTCCAGAAGGAAAGTACTGGGGGTTTCACAAACAGCTCACCAACAAGGCAGAATGTTTGTTCTGATTCTTGGTAGTTGTAAAGAATTGTTTAAGCTACAGAGCTTAGATCAGAAGCACACACAAAAATCAGTCAGCTGGGAATATGGTGAGTACAGTTTCTGTATTGCTGGGGCATTTAGAGGCATATGAGTTTCAAGATACTAAAAAAAGCAAAGGATGGATAAGCCTTCACTTTTCACCTCTCTAGTGGAAGGTGCCCCTGCCCACAGCAGGGCATTTGGAACTGTATGATCTTCAAGGTCTCTTCCATCCCAGGCCATTCTGTGATTCTATTTTGTGATTCTATAATACTTTTTGTCTGAGCACTGTCTGATGATACTGTAAAATATGCTGAAAAATAACTTAGATGCATCTGAGATGGTGCAACTATGCTTGAAACAAAGGGCAGTTACATCAATGAAAGGATTTTGGTGGATACCATTGATCTTCAGGTGAAGTTCATCATGAATGTATTCTGTCACACAGCATACACTGCTATTGAAAGATATATTAGTGCTTAAAAATGAACAAACTCGGGCATTTTGATTCCTCCAGTTATGTTTCCCCATAAAATGATACAGATTATAAACGATTACTGAAAGTGCCTCTAACCCCATGATAGAAATGAATTCCTCTGTTCCTTTAGCTGCATTTCTTTGTGTTGAGAAGCAGAATTATAGTTAGTGTGAGTTAACCAAGTTAATTATCAGTGTCTTGAGAAAGACTGGAGGAAAGCAGTGTTCAAAGATGAAGAGCATGACTGGGGTTAAAGGTTGAACAAATAAAACATAGTTGCTTGGACACAAAAATCATGTGGCTACTTTTTAATTACCATGAGAACTACAGAGGGCTTTCCAGTAAGAGCACAAAACAACATGAATAATGTGAGATACATCCTTATCAGCATGGAATGATGATTAACAGTTATGTACAATTCCAGTTCTGCAACTCAAAAAGCAAGAACAAAAAAGCACAATAACTATGCAGTCATTAATGAGGCCCTAATAATCTAAGTCCCCATAGTGTCTTCTTGTGGTGAGACTTGCTCAATAGAATTATTCACATTTCTGCATGTGTGTAACTGGGGCAGTAGATGCTGCTGCCTATTCCCTGTGGTGACTGATACCTGCAGCAAAAAATAGCTGGATTTTTTTAATGTCTCACTGAATTTATTGACCACTAGCAGCTTACAGGGCCAGCAGTGAAGTGGTAAAAGAATCTGTTCTTATGGAAGTTAAAAAAGCTTCAGTATACAGCTGGGTGGAAGGTGACAAAAGATTTCCTAATAACAACTGAAAAACTGTTTTTAACGAATTAGTTGTCCAAAAAGACAGTTTTAACCATTTCTCTGTGTGTTTTCATGTATTTTAAATTTTGAGTGTGACATAGAAAAAGATCTAAGGAAAGCAGGAACTTTACAAATGCATTCCCTTATCTCAACTTGTACCTTTTAATCCCTTTGCATTCAGAATTTTGCAACGCAAATATATGTCACCTTTTGTGAACTTAAGTGAGAATGGATGAAACACTCTGCTTACACAAGTTATGCTTTCAGGGTCGATGCAATACAAATACTAAAGAAATTTGAAATATTTCACCAGTTTGATAGATTATCTGTCAAGTAGCCAGGATGATCACTGTTTTCTTCTTCAACTGTAAAGACAAAACACAATGGAGGAAACATAAGTTGTGGATAAAGGTAAGTTCAGTCAGGCAAAGTTTTCAGGAGATAGATGTGCCTCAAGCGCAGACCTAGTGTAATGTGACTTCTTAGCTAAGAGGGGCAGGCATCTCTAGAAATGATAATGTCTTCTCTCATTTTAAATGTAGGAATTTTTCTGTTTGCTGAAGAGCAAAGATGCAAACCCTGTCCAGAGGGGTATCTTAGTACAAGCCAAAAATTTTTCATGGCGAAGAAAATAATTTATTTGTTCTTTATCTGCACATTGCCCTCAGTCAAGAGGATTCTAAAATCAACTGAAAATTATCCTCTGAAAGTGTATGGCTTGTCCAGGTTTGAATGTCTTATTATTCCCTGCTCAATGATGGCAATGTTATTCCACACAGTATTTTTTTCAAACAGGCTGCCAGTTCTGCTGAGCTCTCTCAGATATGTCGCCTTTTTCCTCAGGAGGTTGTTGCTGTCCACCCTCTCTTGGGAACAACAACAGCATTCAGGAAAATACCGCTAAAATTTATTAAAGTCCACCTGCAGAGGATTTTCTCTTTTTGCTGGCATACAAATGACACTTTCACTGTTTTATCTTTAGAACTGCTCATATATTTTGTCCAAAGCACAATGCTAATTTTTAAGTTTGCCTCTCTCTCTTTGCAAAATGCCACTGAATTTTCTTTTTTGTTGGTGTAGTTAGACCAGGACAGGGAAAAAGAGCTGAACATGGACCCTCAGCACTATATGAGGTACAGTGGGAGATTTTAGGATGTGGTAAAGACAGGAGTGGTTCCAACACACCTGTCCATACACCAGGTAATTTCTGGGAGGTGTTTCTCACACCCTCTTGGCATTTCAGGAAAGGTGTCAAAGGTACAAAATCACCTCATATTTTACTAGGGGTTTACTTCACATTTCCTAATTCAAGTAAAGCCCTTTTTTTCCCCTGTCAGCATGTCTGCAATTGATAGTCTGAATAAGGAACTCACAGCCAGGTGGCTTTTAGCCTCCCTGTCCTGAACCAAAGAGGGGAAGAGCATAATTTGCACAAACTCCTGGGCTTGTATGTGCTACTACAACCTCCCCAGCACCCGGGGCCAGAGCACAGCACAGTCTCTCCACAGTCTCTAGGGTGTATCCTCCTCTCTGTCCCCCCCAAAAAAGAGTCAGTGTCCCTGCAGAGGTGAAGAGGTGAAAGGCATAAAGAGAGAGGACATAGATTTAGGGTCTCAGCCTGGTGAGCTGTATCTATTCATCAGACAACGAGGGGACAATGGCCTTGCAGGAAAGCTACTCTAGAGAGGAAAGGGTGGTTTATACCGGGTGAGGGAGCTGGGGAACACAGGCTAAGGGTCCTCATCCAAGGCAGTGCAATATGTATGAAGGAGATGAGAGAAGACAAGTTATTCAAGCCTGACTCAGCAGTGGGGTTTTGATGAGGGGTGTGGTGGAAGGAGGATGTGTGTTCTGAGGTTAAGAAGAGAGAAGTGGAAGCACGTGGCTGGTGGTGAGGCTGGAGGGTTAGACAATATCTCTGGGAGGCTGGGAACATGTGAATTATGGGATTTTTCAGGATCTTCCAGAGCTCTAAGTGTCACTGGGATCCCTTGTCAGCTGTGCCAGCAGCTGGGTTTTCAGGAGCCAGATGTGAATCCCAGACCTCCTCTGCTGGGGCTTTTATGGATTCTTTAAAGCCTTTACACCAGGACACAAGATCCAATGGAGGAATGAAAATTTTAAAAGCCAACAACATTCTGCAGAAAAAGGAGCCCCAGTAAAGATTTGGCTTGGAAAATTCAATTCAAAATATCCATTCCCAAATTATCCAAATTAGCCATTTAAACGAGTAAAAAATCTGAAAAGTAAATTAAAAGCAGAATATACAAAAATAAACCTGTTGTCATTTATGTGACTCTTGTTCTAATCTGTGCAAATGTAACACAGTGCACTCTGTAGAACACCACCAAACTAGATCAATTTACTAAGTTGTTAGTAAATGGAATGCTGGAAAACTCCTTTTTAAAAAGGTCAGTGCAAGACAAAACATGCATTTACCTTCTTTTGCTTTCTGTAAGGAACTAAGGAACAGTGCAGCAGCTTCAGAAAGAGGTAAAGGCTTTGTGTTTTGGCTTCGTGTTTCTAGAATGATAAAATCACAGACGCATGGTTTGTTAGCATCTGAGGGCATTTCTTTGCTTTGTTCTTTGTTTTATTATTATTTATTTAACTAGAGACACAAGGACAAGAAAATACTGTTATCTCCTTCGCTCTGTAACATTCTCTGCTGAGCCTGATAGATAACACAGAAGATATTAGCAGTCTTTTTAGGAGGGAGGTTATTTCAAAGTCTCTTTTCTTTTTTTGTATGTTCCTTACTTTGCTACAAAAATCTGTTTCCTCCAAAACCATTGGCTAGCACAGGTTAATGTTGTCTAATTTTGTAATTTTTTCAGTTCAGCACAATTAGTAACTTGACTTGATTTTTTTCCCAGTGGAAAAAGCAAGTCAAAAGTACTGATGAGAATCTCACTTAGCAGCCAGGTCAGTCTGGAAATTATGTAAATAAAGGCACACAGGTGCACAAGAATGGAAAGCCACTTTGTCATGGGCTTTTTGGAGAGAAAGAACTAACTGAAGGGGGTTTAATTGCTTCCTTCTATAGGATTCCAGGAAAACAAATCCCACAGATTTCTCCCATAACCTGTGGAAAGATCAGTGTGTTACCTACCCCTGTGCACTGCACTTACCAAGCTGCATCCTGTCGTACAGATCCTTCCTCTGGCTCTCCTCTGGGATGAACCGACGTCCCTCTACAAAAGCAGTGGGAGAAGGGTTAAAAACAACCTCCCCATCGTGTTGGAATTCCTGCTTTACAGTCCCTAAAGTGCTCGTTTCAAAATGCAGAATTACAATACTACTTCTACAAGCATAAAGTGGGAGATTAAGTCCATCTCAGGGTCTTTCCAAATCCGGATTAGCCCATCCTGGACCGGGAACACTCAGAGACATCCTTTATTCCGTAGAACTGGTGTTTCAGCACTTTTCTTTCTTGTATTAACCTGATGTAGGAACTGCACATAGGGAGGAATTTACTTTATTTTCCTCCCTCTTTCCTGCTCTGTGGTCAAGATCCTTCAGTCTCTTTGCTGGACTATAAAGTATTGCCTTTTAAAGTGATATTCTATTTAAAAAATGAAAAGAAACCACCCCAAACTAACAAAATAAACTCACATTTCTTCCTATGCAGCAGTAAGAATGATGCAAAGCTTGGCGTAGAAGTGACACAGTTCAGTTGAAATAATTAAAAAATAAAAACAAAGAAAAAAGGGACAAATTCTTTCTTTTATGAATAGAAATTAATGTCACAAGAACTTCTTTCAGTTATGTTTATGTTTGAAGCCTATATTTATTTTGTGTTGCCATTATTTGTTTTGTCTCCCTTTTGCATTTCTCTCAGGATTATGACCTTCATTTTTTTTTCTAATTTCAAGGAAGCTCTTAATACCTACCCTACCTAATAGCTTTTAATTTTGAAACAACAATTCAGAGTATAATTTATTAAAAATATTAATATTTCCATAGAATTTTGTGGGTTTGAATGGAAGGAAAAAACTCTCTTTGGCTCTGAACTTTATCTTTATATTTAATTGTACTTTAACTCTGGACTAACAGCAGAAACTCAAAATGTCATTTACACCACCTTAACACCACAATACTGATCTAAGTTCCTCTTAGAAGAGGTTGCTTGTGGTCTTAATACTAACTGTGATGCAAAGATGCTTGAAATAAGAATATGTGTTCTCCTACTGCTTGAGAAGCTGTTTTAATAAAGCCTGAACAGGAATAAAGGAATAATAATTATATCCAGTATGTTTTAAGGCACCTTTAAAATTATTTCAGGAAAAGTGCTTTTCTAACAGGTTTTACAATGAAGTTTCAAACTCTGCACGTTTTCAGCACTTTCTTTCTCTTTTCTTCTTTCAACACTTGCTTTCTTCAGTTTGATTTCTTTATAAAGTAATAATAATAATATTGCCAATGCCACTATATCAGAGACAAGAAGAAATAACTAATTAGTACATCCCTGCAGTCCTCAGAGCTTCTACCTCCACAGCATCCTCAGGATTTACTGCTTGTGTGGAGCCAACATCTCCTCAGAACAGAAAGAGCTCAGGACTTACGTGCACCCTTCAAATAGAGCATGGCCTGAGGAGTCCAGTTTCTCCTTTGGAAATGAGCCTTCACACAAAACAAAAAGAGAAAAGAGACATGTCAACATTGCATGGCATTGCTAAGCAGTACAAATGCTTAGTGGCACCAACCTCTGAGCTCCATGGATGAGGCAGGTCCAGCCTGAGCAGCTCACCTGAGGGGCACTCCAGGAGAACACAACAAAGGATGCTGCCAGGAACAGTGCCAGCCCCGATGCTGTCAGTTTATGCAGCCCCTGTGCACAACAAAGAGCCAACGAGGCACAGGAAAGGACTTTCAGACCTGTAGATCCTCTCAACTTCACATCTAAATGTGAGGGTGTTCCCCTTTGTTGCTGCCTTGCTGCCAAACCCCCTCTTGCTCAGTGGGTATTTCAGTGGTCTGATCAGAGGATGGATGTTAAAACAAACATGCTTTATTCTCCTCAGTCAAACTCATTGTAAAGGTGAGGACTGCCACCAAGGCAAGTATCTTTTGTGCTCCTATTTGCAAAGATGTCAGATCCTCCAAAAATGAGAATAATGTACAAACTGAGGGGAAAGATGATATAAAGTCTACCTTGATTTTACCAAACCTTAGACAACACGCAAATGTGTCGTTCCAAACAAACAAGCCAACCAACAAGGAGACCAAATCACTACTTCTCAAGTTCAAAAAGGAGTTTTTAAACGTAGCATCCTATTAACATCAACCATGATTACACACATGTCATGAGACAGGGTTTTTTTTGATTCTTGGAGCCTGTCCACTGGTGCAGCACATGCAAATGAAAGCACCAAGCGTGAATCCTCTGTGAATAAGTTGTACCTCTGCTTGTGCTCACAGACCGTGTTGTTATTCATGTGTTGAGTACAGTGATGGGCAATAGAGAGCATCTAACACCATGATTTCATTCACAGTGGTTTATTTCATCCTGATTATGTTCTTTTCTTAATGCAGTTGTTTCAAGAACACTAAATAGATCTATGCATATGTTTGCCTCAGGTTATTTTTAAGGTAAAATCATTAAGCCCCTCTGCAGTTCCTAAATATTGCATTCACATGAAAAAACCCATAAATTGCAAGCTGAATGTTTCCTACACACCAAAAAAAGTCTCACTTACCTTCATATTTATCTCAGTAGCAAACCTTCAGTCTTCTTTTCTTGGGATAACGTGTCACAGATCTCCTACATGTTCAGGGGTCCCTTTTTAAACCTTTGGAGTGCAGGTGCCCTCCCCTTTCGTGGCAGGGCGGAGGAGTGTGAAGGGATCTCTTGTCAGCCCTGTAGATGGAGAAGTAGAAGGTCTGATGACTCCTGAGGGAAACCTGTAGTCTTGCAGGAAGTCATGACTGGAATGATTGAAAGATGGATACACTTGGAGATGCACCCCATTAACCAGGTGAATACCCTCTGAATACATCAGCCCTGTGAATCTGCAGTACGTCACCTTCTTGCTGGATGATCAATAATCACAGACAGAGCAGATATTAATATGGATGGTGAGTGTTTACCCAGGATAATCTAACTTATATCAAATTACTATCCGTTGTGGGAGCTGGAAAAGTTGGTAAGTTACTCGCCAGTCATAACGTGCCAGCATCCAGAAAAAAAGTGACTTATCCAGTGTCACTAGCTTGAGGTTATTCCTGGCATACATTTCGAGGAAGTAGTCTCTTGTTTGATTCTCTAACCATCTCTTGTATCTATTTTTCTTACACACAAGCAAAAATACAAAGCCGAATAATAATAAAAGAAAGGAACCAAACCCTGAACTCTTAATAGTCAGAAACACTTTTCTGTCTCATGGATTGGGTGGAGTAAAAGCTCAGACCATGGGCTTGAATAGGTCAAACAGCAGAGCAGTAAACAGAAAAAAAGGCAGGAAGTAGGTATCAGAGAAGCCACTTCCATAAGCTACTTCTGAGTGATGGTTGGAGTCACTGCAGTCGTGGACAGTGGGTTTCGTCCTCAGGCAAAGAGCTTATCATGCTCGATGCCTGACCTTGCTTGCTCCATCAGTCTTCCTGCCTTTTTTTCTCTGTAAAATAGGAGATGGAAGCAGAAGGGGAAGCAAAGCAAAGTAAAGAGGGAGCTTGAAATTGGCTACTTGGAATTTTCCTGCAGCAGCCTCACAAACAGCCTGTGGCGTAACAAAAATTCAGGTGGGCCCATACATGTGACAAACACTTGCTCTGGATGTCTGTGGAGTCTGAGGGAGGAGTGTGCACACAGGCACTGCCACAGCCTGCTCTGAACTTTTCCCTGGCGTGATGTGTCCTTGGAGACTGCTCTGAAGAACAATCTGTTAGTGGAGGTGCCATTGCTGTCCAGGTTTTTGGGGGGATATCACTCTGTTCTTTGCTCATTGGTTCATTGAATATACAGAATTAGCATTAGCTGCAGTTCACTTTGGTATAGACACAAGAAGCAAGAAGTTCAGGTTTTGGTCTCAAGCAGCTCTTGTGATGGCTGGGAGATGCTGTTTTACCTCTATCCTTTTTAAAAGGCCATGCCATGATGCATCCTAGCCAGCAGTGAGGATTCTGCTTGCATCTACTTCAGTGGAAAGTATATGTTTTCCCTGCTCTTTTCCTCTTGCCCTGACAGATCAGAGACATTTCTTGATGATGTTTAACCCTTAGCCTTAGAAGAGAACTATGCATTGCATCCAGGAGATGTTTAACATGCAGAGACTTGGAAAAGGTAAACCTACTCACCTATTCCCTTCTGGAGTGACTTTAGATCTTCTCTTTATGTACAGACCACAGGACCAGAATCAAAACATTCAGCTGAGCCTGTGAAAATTAACCCGCTGCCTTCAGTATCAGTCACTGTGAAGCATATTCTCTTCATGAGGGTTCTCCTTGTGATAGAAAAACCAGAATGTGTTTGGCACTGAAAATAAACACTGCTTTTCCTGCCACTGGAATGAGACAAGGCGATGCAAAACAAACTGGGAAGACAGCCAGCTGAGCCCCTCCTGTTGGAAATGGGGAGAAGAGGAAGGGAATGGGAGGCATGGAGAAAGGTTTATGTTGCTATCACACTGCAGAAAGCAACTTCAGCTTTTCGTATTTGTGACCACTTCGCAAAATCTGAGCTGCCCCGAGTTGGTGTTGCCAGTGTCTCTCTCTCTCTTCCAAACCTGGCTGTATTCCCATAGTCCCACTGGCCTCCTTGTAGAGACTGGGAGGCTGCCTGGAGGGATCAGGGAGCTGAACTGGACAAGTCCAAACCTGAACTGGGTTATGGTGGGGTCAGGTGACTGTCAGCTCAAGACCAAATGCAGGATCTTGACGGCATCATCTTAAATTAAATGGTTTTAGTGCTGTACCATCAGATGTTTCAGTGGCACCTCTGAAGGTGTCTGTGTGTCTTCATTGCCTTCAAACAGCATTTTGCACAGACAACATCAGGTGAAATGAACCCAACCCCAAGTTTCATTTCCATATTTTTTTCCAAAAGGTTTTTATTTTTTTATCTAAAATTCTCTGTGCCTTTGTGACTTAGGGCTCTATATTAATTTATTTTTTCTGTGACCAGTGATTCCAAGTTGCTTTGGTGTTTCAAAAAAGGGGAGTGTTTGCATTCACAAGATAAACGTGGATGTGTATGGGCATATGTGAGCTGGTACTCCTGGAAAATGAAGTGGGCTATAATTGGGTTATGGATCATAAAACACTAAAAAACTGCAGCACTTCAGGATGATGAGCTGTACACGAAACACTCATTGTCAGTGCTGTCATTTCTCAGCTGATTCACGTAGAGGAGGAAGTGGCTTTGGCATGTAATCAATACCCTGAGCGAGAGAAGTAGAGTGAAGCTTGTTGTAGCCAGCACGACCCCTTATTAGAAAGAAAATAACCTATTCTTATTCCTAAAGACGATCTAAAGGGCAGGGAATGCATATCCTGACACTGCAAATGATAAAAAGCCAATTTCTGGGATTGAAGTTTGGTGCTGAGGTGAGTGAAAAAGTTCCCATGTGGTGGAGTTTTGACTGCTGGGGTCAAACCTGCATCACTGACTTGTGTCGTGACTGTTTTCTTTCCCAAATACTTCCCTAAAAATACAGGCTACAGTCACTGGACCTGTATATTTTTAACTGCTGGTAAGGGCACCAGTGATCCGTGGCTTGCCTTTGAGTAAGAGGTGTAGCTGTTGTGTGTGGGTGGCCAGGAGGTACGTCAGCAAATACGATATTCTGATGCTGTCAAGGTACAAATCTCCTGAAACTTATGACCTTTGTTTTGTGTTTATTCTCATTTCCTTTGTTCTTTCCTGCTAGTTTGTTAACTCTCTGGAAGTAAATCTCACTTCTGTCTGGCACCTGAGCAGCACCTAGAACAGGGGTAGTTGTGGCTCCTACAGACAAACCACAGCATCTCAAAAGGCTGTGAAATATCATGGCAGAGTCTGAAAGGTAGGGAATTGCAAACAGAATTTTGCATTTAATTTGCAGTAAGGGGATTTAAGTTGCATAGTGGGGTGAGCTTCCTACTAATAGCACAGTCAAATATAAATAGGCTGCCTTGAAAGGCTGTGGATTTATCGTCACTGAGAAACTCAGAGAATAGATGAGCCAACCCCATCCTAGGACTCATTGGTAAGCTGATTCTGCCCAGGCACATTGGGATGAACTGTATGGCCTCTTAACATCTTCTTTGGGACTGTTTTTTTGTGTTTCTGTCACCTTCCAAAGCTGACTCTGGACTTTAACCCCTCATACATCCCACTCAGACTAGGGGGAAGTTCTGTATTCACCTTGTAAAACCTATTGATTGAGCAAATCTCATCTACAATCCATCAATACATTTTATGTCGGCCATTTTATGTCACACAAACATGTTTGTCAGTATTATTTTTCAGAATAGGCCCTAACTTACAGAATCATAGAATAGTTGGAGTTGGAAGACACCTTTAAAGTTCATCTAGTCCAACATCTCCTGCAATGAGCATCCTCAACTTCTCTGGGAAGTTGTATTTCCATGGTGCCCAAAATTTATCCAGCTACTCTGTTGGACATTCAGCACCAGAAACATGTATAGATCTGATTCCAGCACTACTACATAGTTGCTAGAGCTGCTTTTCTTCTTTTCTCTAGACTGCATGAGAAGAACTGTGCTAAAAACTACTTGAGGTACAGAACAAGGTGTAGAAAAGCCAGTCTGTTGGGGATCATGGAAATACCTCTCACAAGAGAGGTAACAGAGCCTTTGTTGAGGACTACAGTGTGATCAGTGGCCAGGCCCAGGCACTACTGTTTGCAGAAGCATGTTTATGAAAGAGAATAAAGTTCAAGGGATAATTGTAGGTAAAAGTAAAAGTTCGATATGTTATGTGGGGTGAGAAATGTTTGAAAGTGTCAGGAAAGAGTAGAATTCACAGTGTAAAGATCACAGAAAGAGGTGTTACTTCTGAAGTTCAGAGAACCATAGGATGGGACGACACTATTTTTTATCAGCAATGGACAAGTCTGGGGCAAACACCAGGAAACAGAGATTAGCTGAGAAAGAGTTTTCTCCAGTTTTCAAGCTGGAAAAGAGATCTGACTATCTAAGTATAACAGCATACAACATAGCAAAGGCTCTACAGCTCTTCAGACAGGCAGGTCTGTATGGATCTTGCAGGACTTACCTTTCTGCAGTGACAGAATCACTGAAGGCCAAGGAGTCATCTGACCTTTTCTTCCACCCCCATGAACTTGGCAAAAAGGATTTTTGTCTTTGTCAAGAAGTTACATTAGTTGGGCTACAGAACAGGCTGAGCATTGCTCATGTGTTACACACACTCTTGGCTGAGCATATTTGTCAATGCTGGATGACAGTAGTAAGTTTCACTTTTATTTAATAGTTTTCCCACAAAACAGGGGGGGACAGCAATGTTGGTTCACTTCCACATTTTGGGTTTTAACCACAAAGAACTTGTGAGAGCACTTCTAACATTTTTTTTCTAGGAGTGGTGTCATTTGCCCAAGTGCCTGGAGAAGTCTGATGGGTTGGTACCGGACAGGCAGTAGTCCCAAAACAACACTCTATTTCCAGCTATTTACACATCATATAACTAAAGATCCACACTGCTAAAATGCAAATTGGGTTTGATAATTTAATACTAAAAAGAGGAGTTGGTTAAGGATCCTAATGACAAAATATTATTTTTTTTTT